GCCTCCTGAGTAGCTGGGACTACAGGCATGTGCCACCACGCCCAGCTAATTTTTTGGATTTTAGTAGAGATGGGGTTTCACCATGGCCAGGATGGTCTCCGTCTCCTGACCTCATGATCTGCCCACCTGGGCCTCCCAAAGTGCTGGGATTACAGGTGTTAGCCACCACGCCAGGCCTCAGACACGATGCTTTATGGCCACCTAGGTGTCCCACAAGCCTGGGAGCTGGGTTGTCCAGCTGTGAAAGTGGAGGCTTAGCAGGGTTAGGTCATTCACTCAAGGTCACACAGGAAGTGGCAGAGCCCAGAAGTGGTCACAGTCTGACCCCAAAGCTTGTGTTCTGTCTGTGCCATCCAGAGTCTCAGGGGCCAGCCAGAAAGACGGGGCCTTAGGCCCTGACCTCTGGACTCATCCCTGTAAACCTGCCCTGCCTGGCCTCATGGCTGCAGAAGGAGGTCAGGGCATTACTGAGGCATGGGTGGTGGGGGGTGGGCACATGGTGGTGATGGGAGGGCCTGCCCTTCTGGTGAGGAAGGAGGTGGCAATTGGCTGGGACTGCAGGGGAGGGCAGGAATGGTCACCGGAAAGGGTCACGGAAGTGGGGAAGGGGAGTGATTGTGCCTCCCTACAGAGGGAGCAGGCTACAGACAGAGAAAGAGACTGAACATTAGGCACAGGTGAGGAGTGTGCCTGATCTACGGTCTCCTTCCTTAAAATGACCCCTCTAGATCTGTTTGCTTACTGGGGTGTCCTTTAGCTGGGGATGTTCTGAGAAATTCGTCCCAGGAAGGCTAGGGTGCAGGGGTCAAGGGTCAGAGGTTGGGGATGCTGGGATGCAAGGGTCAGGAAGGATGCTGAGACATTGCTTTTGGACTTGTAGCTTCTCCTGGGCTCTACCCGGCAGTAACCACAGCCAAGCAGGGGAAGACAGTGGCCAAGGCCACACCATTCCCAGGGACCTCCCGATACGGGCACGAAGGAAACTCACAGTGCACAGGGACCTCTCCTCATGCAGCGACCTCTCCTCCTGCAGGGAGCTCCCGCCCCATCATGCACCTGGACTCCACCTCAGCTGAGGATGCCAGTCCTGCTCTCAGCAACGGCAGCTCTAAGCCCAGGTGAGCCCCAGGGCACCCACGTCCCCTTTCAGGCCATCACTAAACCACAAGGTGCCTTTGAGCAAATAGGAACCCAGTGCTCTTTCCTCTAAGTGGACTCATCCACTTGTCATGGCCACAGCCTGCAGCTACAGCCCTTGAGCAGTGGACAACTTGCACTGTAGGACAGCAGCCCTGCTGCCTGTCCAGGGTGAAGGGTCACCAGGGTCCCAGCCCCCACCTCTCCCCCTGCCCCCACCTCAGGCACAGCCACCCCAGTCGGGGGCTCCTGCCCATATACTTTGCACCAAGCCCTGTTCCAAGCATGAAAATTCAGAATCCAAAAGAAAACAACTTTTTTCCCTTACAACTGGAGTCCCAGCCTGAAGGGTTGGCTCTCGGGGATTGTAACTGCACTCAGCTATCAACATCCAGGCTGCTGCTGGCAAGTTCAGACCCTGCTGAAAGTGAACCCTGGGGTTGGCAATGGGGGCAGTGGCGCCTTCCATGCCAGACAGGGCTGATGGGACATCGTGGCCCCTAGTGCACTCTGATCTTGGGAGAGACAAAGGATATGGCTTGACTCACAGTTAGAATGCCAGGATGCCCCCCATGCCAGTGCCAGTGACACCAGCCCAAACACAAGCCGCTGAGAATTTCCCTTCACACCGTTGGGTGACCTAGCAAGTCGCTCATTGCTTCAAATGTCAGTTTCTCCAGGGTGAAATTGGGCCACTCCTATCTAGTTACACAGGGATGTGGAATTTGACAGCTAACAATGACAGGGTGCCTGGCATGTGTCTGGCTCTGAACTAAGCGCTTTACACATCCTGACCTGTTTGATCCTCACCGCAGCCATTTTGCTAAGGAGGAAATTGACACCCTGGGAGGTTTAGTCACTTACCCAAGGTCTAGAAGGTAGCAGAGCTAGAGTTTGAACCCAGGCAGCCTGGTTTCAGGGTCTGCACTAATTAAATAATGTTTGTCAAGAGCCAATAGCACTAAGTGCTCCTGCTCCCCGCCCTGCCCCCACAAGTCTGCTGCATTGAATTGGATTTCACGCTAGGGATTGGCTTTCTCAGCCTGTACCTGGGACCCCCAAAGGATGTAGACTCTGGCTTGTCTGGTAACAGCCACTAGGCTCCTTGTGTCTCATCTCCAGGTTGTCCATCCCATTGGTCCGCATCCTGGCCCCAGTCCTAGTGCTGCTGAGCCTTCTGGGGGCCGCAGGCCTAATCACCTTCAGCAGCCATCTGCTCCGGTGGAGAAAGGAAGGTAAGCAAAGGTGGGTGGAAGGAAGGTAGGAGGTTCACTGGGCCAGGGGCCTGAGAACTGCAGCTCCCCACCCAGCCCTGGAAAGACCCTGTGGGCCTCAGCGTGTCCATCTGAGATATGGGCGTCAGGAGCTGTGCCCTCCCTTCTGAGGGACCCACGAGGCCATCAACCTTAGGAAAGCAATTCACAAGGGGAAATGGGAGAATGAAGGGTTCTCAGCGTCTCCCTGCCTGTCTGAACTGATCAAGCACTTCTCTACCTATTGACCCCAGGAAATTCCCAGCAATCCCAGAGATTGCCAATTCCTTGTGTGGGAACCAACTGCCAGGGACAATGCAGGGCCAAGCACTTGAACTTCAGCAGGACAGACAAGGTGACCCCGCTCCTGCCACTGGGTCTCTAGTGCTGCTCAGTCCCTTCCATAGGCCGAGGCTGAAATCCAAGCTCTACCGCTTTTGAGCTGTGCGACCTAAGGCAAGTCACCTAACTGCCCTAAGCCTCATTTACCTAAAATCACAGATACACATCAAACAGAAATAGAATACAAGCCACAAATGTAATTGAAAACTTTCAAGTAGCCACATTTTAAAAAGTTAAAAAAAAAAAAAAACTAGTGCCATTAAATGTATTTTATTTTAATTATTATTTTTTTAATTATTTATTTTTTAGAGATAGGGTCTCACTCTGTCGCCCAGGCTGGAGGACAGTGATGTGATCATGGCTCACTGCACCCTTGAACTCCAGGGCTCAAGTGATCCTCCTGCCTCAGCCTCCCGAGTAACTAGGACTACAGGCATGAGCCACTATTCCCAATCTAGTGATGTTAATTTTAATAATGTAGTTTATTTAACCCAACATATCCAAAACGTTATCATTTCGATATGGAATCAATATGAGCATATCAATGATGGCGGGGCGCTGTGGCTCACACCTGTAATCCCAACACTTTGGGAGGCTGAGGCGGGCGGATCATGAGGTCAGGAGATTGAGACCATCCTGGCCAACATAGTGAAACGCCATCTCTACTAACGTACAAAAATTTAGCCAGGCGTGGTGGCGCGTGCCTGTAGTCCCATCTACTGGGAAGGCTGAGGCAAGAGAATCGCTTAAACCCTGGAGGCGGATGTTGCAGTGAGCCAAGATCACACCACTGCAAGACTCTATCTCAAAAAGAAAAAAAAAGAAAAGAAAAGAAAATATCAATGATACATGTTCTACTTTCATGTTTTTCATATCGAGGCATCAAAACCCAGTCTAATGTGAAGTAGTCAAATTTCAGTGCCTGATGGCCGCGTGTGGCTCCTGGCTCCTGTTCTGATGGCAAAGACTAAAAGGATTAACTGAAATCTCAGTAATAAGAGCTACCATGTGGCAGGCACTATCCCAGCTTATCTCACTCATCCCGTTTAATCTCCACACTGTGGAGAACACACCTATTTTCCGGGAGGGCACACCCATTTTCCAGGAAAGTACACCCATTTTCTGGGGAGTATACCCATTTTCCAGGGGAGTACACCCATTTTCCAGGGGGAGACACAGAGACAGAGTGGTTATGCAGCTCGCCCTTTGTTTGCATAGCTAGGAAGTGGTGGAGCCAGGAAGATCACAATGTCATCCCCATGGACGTGGCCACGGGGGAGTCCTGGGCCCACTTTCTGTCTCTTCCACGAGTGACTTCTAGGAGGAAATGTGGGCTTTGTCCAGGTCCCCTCTGAAGAGTTCAGGACAGGAGCATTCCTGGTCACAGCCTCAGAGCCACCTAGCACCCTGCTTCTCAAACTGTGATCACCAGCCCCCAGCAGCGGCAACCCCGATAGCCTGCTAGAAATGCAGACCCTCAGACCCTCACCCCAGACTACTGAACTAGACTCTGCACTGTACAAAAATGTCCAGGGGGTCCTATGTGCACACTAAGGCTGAAGAAGCTATGTCCTTAGCACACAGATTTATTTTCCCAGCCAGTTTCCGGCCCTCATGAGATCATCTCCATGCACTGATCTCGGAAGACTGGGTCATTCCCAAAGGTCTGAGCTGGAAGGGGCTCCTCTGCCCGTCTGGCTGCCTCCTCCCTCTGGGAAGCCCCTGCTTCCATGTGCAAGGGGCCCAGTCCGCCACTCTGGGAGCAGCTACAGGCCGTTCCTCACTACTCCTGGCTTCAAGGGGCTCCTCCTTCTACATCTCTTTCAGCTCAACTGGCCACAGAGACACAGAGGAATGAGGTCTACCTCTCACACTTGGTAAGGACAGAGGCATATGGAAGCCCAAGCTTGGATCCCCATGGGGCTGGGAGTCAGGATTCCTGGCTCTGCCTCTGTGACTTCCTACCTGGCCCTCCATGCCTTGGGGCTCACACAGATTCCTGCCCCAAGATCAGCCCTTCAGGGTGTGAGCCGGACAGAGTGCCCATAGGGGACTTACAGGTAGGAACCTGATTTCCTGCTGGGTGCCAGGCAGGGTGGACACCAGGATCCATGTGAGCATTTTCACTAGGCACCTTCTTTCTTTCCCACCTTTTAGAATCACAGAACATCAGAGCTGGGTCCAGAGGAAGCCTTTGAGATCTCTAGCCCGACCTTTCTCTCAGTTTGAAGCAAATCCCCTTTCAGAACACCCAGGGGTGAGGGCCCCAGCCCCAGCTGAACCCTCCAGGGGTGGGGTCCAGGGACTCTGGCAATGGTACAAACTCTAGTCTGCTTTTGCAAAAGATGAAACTGAGGCCCAGAGAGGGTAAAGGCCTTGCCATGGTCACACAGCAGGTGGTGGTCCACATGGAGAACAGGACCCAGATTTCTCTAGTCCCTGCTCTTCTCCTTCCAGAATGCCCTCATGTTTTCTCTGAGCCTTCCTTGGCTCTGAGACCAAGGTAGCCTGGCTGCCCTAGGACCCAGGCTGAGGGTGGTGCTCTGGGGACGAGGGGGCAAGACAATAGGGGTCCCTGTGCCCATTGTCGGGAGCAGGGAACCTGCCCCAAGGCTACTGCTGCAAGGAAAGACCATGCCTTCCGAGGCCTGGGCTCCAGCCTGGGGGACGGGGGGGTGCTGAGGCATCGTGGTTCAGGACACAGAAGCCCCATCTGGGCCCTCCTCCCTCCACTGTTGACTGAGATGCCTCCACTCATTCCTTTAAACACAGGGGCAGGAAAAGGGGGCTATCATTGCCTTTTTTCCTGGCGCCAGTGAGGACAAAAGACTCAGGCCTGGTCCCCCAGGGAGGACTTGGGTGGGAATGGGCCTTTGGGCTGTTATAGGAAGCAGTTGTTGTCGTCTCAGGAAGCTCAACAGGGCCAAAGGTAGCGGAGGGGAGTGAGGGAAAAGTCACAGAGACACGTGGATGGACAGACGGGGGTGCCACTGATCGCCTCCAAACCCAGCCTCCTGGTCTGCGGCCTGGGACCTGGGGCTCACCCCACCTAGCTCTGGAGGAGGGGCTGGGGTCCAAGGAAGCTGAGAGCTCCCGTACCAGCCACAGCTCCCGTGCTGCTGCCTTCCGGCCACCCTGGGAAGGGCTGCTTTGGGCTTTTTCTGCCGAGGCACCTGACCCTGCTTCTGCTGAAGAGGGAGGGGATAGTAAGGGGCACAGGGCCAGCAGGCAGAGGGGCTGGCCCTTGTTGAGGGAACGATGGAACAGAGCACCCCAGGAGGGTCAGAGGCAAGAACGCTGTAAACACAATCAGGTGCGGCCTTCTTTTTCTTATTTCCCTTGTGGCCTCTCCATAGGTTTTAGCAGAGTCTGGAGGTGGAATTGAAGGGGCCTGGGGTTTTCTTTGCCCACATTCAGGTCAAAGAGAATGAGGGCATGTATTACTTATACCTTGAGAGAGCCTCAGAGGGGTGTGAAAACTCTGAGGGAAATGTTAGGGGTCAGACCAGCATTTTCTTTCCCAAAGAGATCTTGCTGAAAGGATTGCCATCCATCCATTCATCCGCCTCATGCTTTTTTTAAATTGAACACCTACTACGTGTCAGGGGCTTTATATATGCCATTGAATCCTCATAATTCCTACATGACGTAGGCATTATTATTCCCCCCATTTTGCAGATGAAGAAATAGAGGCCCAGAGAGAAAAGGGACTTGCCCACAGTGACCCAGCCTGAAAGAGGCAGAACCTGGGAAACTAACTGAGGTCTGTGAGGCTGGCTGCAGCACCCTCTGCGTCCTCCACCCTGCTGCACTGAAGTACAAGGGGTTTGAGGAATGGTGCCAAGTTCACAGCCCAAGACCCCTCCCCCAGACTCAGGAGAAAGAGCTTGGGACAGCTGCAGACCCTCACTCCTGGAAACAAATAGCCTGCTAAGCTCAGATCAGAACTCAGCCCTGGCTACCCAAGACTTCCCTCTTTCTTTGCCACATTTATTACTAGTACCTAGAAATGAGCTCAGATATATATCTTGCATATTTAGCAACCCAGAAAATGCCTGTGTGCTTGCTGGAACAGGACCGATCGTCCACAGTGGAGGCAGAGGGCAGGGGAGAGGTTATGAATCACACGGGACATGCGGTAGTGGGCCTTGATGCTGCCTGGGTGTGTGATTTGGCCTCTGTACCACGAGGCTCTTTCCTCAAACTCGGTCACCCTGGAACAGGTGATGCTTCTGCAGCTGCTGGTGATCCAGGGTCAGCAGTGGCTGGGTTATGACCAAATTGCAAAGCTGAAAATATGGATTCATGGGTCTGATGTCAGGAGTCCTCCGGTCTAGCCCCAGCTCTGCCCTGCACCAAGGCCCCCTCTGTCCTCACCATGGACGGGGCTAGGAGGGACAAAGCCCTGAGTGGCAGTATTTGGGAATCGCCTTACCGCTCCCAGTCCCCTCATCCCCTCTTTTGCCAGCCACACTTCCTCCAGGGAATTCTGCTCCAATTCCTACCTTGTCCCCAGAAGACTGAATATGTCATCCCTGTGTTTCTTTTTTTCTTTAGTATATTTTTTCTTTTTAATTTAAAGTTTTAGAGAAATGGGGTCTCACTATGTGGCCCAGGTGGATCTCAAACATCTGAGCTCAAGCAGTCCTCCAGCCTCAGCCTCCCAAAGTGCTGGGATTACAGGCGTGAGCCACCACACCTAGCCTTCATCTCTGCATTTCTAACAAGAGATGGCTCAAACATCCACACCTCTGCCCCCATCCCTGGCAGCTAGGTATTGAGAAAAGCCAAGGCCAGCTTAGTAGACCACAGACACTGAGCCCAAGAGAAATGTGTCGCACGCCTTGCCAGGATGGCAGCAGGGTGTAGGGAAAGAGCTTGGGTCTGCGGTCAGACAGTTTCCAGCATGAGTCCCAGCCCAGCCATTTGCCAGCTGTGTGATGTCAAGCAAGTTGCATCTGCTCCCTGAGCCCCTGTTGCCATAGCTCACATGCTTGTAAATAGAAAAGAGTGAGATGATATACCCCACAGATGCCCAGAAAATGGGAGTTTCTTTCTCTGGTATCAGTGCCCATTGGACTGTGGGATTCGCTGTCCAGGAAACCTCAGGGCAGCCTGTGGCCTTGGGAGTCTTGGCTGGGGGCCTTGGCTGGCTCCAGCCTCTGCTCTGCCCACATGCTAGGCAAAGGGAGCTTGAGATGGATGGGCCTGGCATTTCTGATCTGAGGACCCATGGGAGCAGCCAGGCCTGGGTCCGAATATGGGCTTCCTCACTGACCCTGGACTACTTGCTCTCTTCCCTGGGCCATGGTCTCCTCATCTGATGGGTAATGGATTGCCCAGACCCATCATCTCAAGAATTTTTCATGCGCCCCTTGTTATTCAATGAATCTTTGGAGTGTCCAACTTTGCTGTCTCCTGGCTGGTCACAGAGAACCTGCAGCTTGCATGCTTTCTGCTTTACAGAATAGAACATAATGAAAACAAATCAGTCATTCCAGAAGTTCTCATTGGCTGAGTGACAGGATGCTATTATGAATATTATAATCCCAAAGGACAAATTCTTACCGGGTTTTACAGCTAGGAAACTGGGCTTCCGAGAGGTTAGACAGCTTGTCCAAGGTCACCCTGAGGGGTAGGAAGTGGCAGAGCCACGGAGGAGCTTAGTGTTCTTCCCCTCCTGGCACCTCCCACCTTGTCCACCCCCTCTCACCTTTCTCTCCTCTGGCTTGGGCTTGGCTGGGCTCGTAGACCCTCCCTGCTGCCAAGAACAGGCTGTTCTGACCAAGTCTCTGTGACAGCCGCTGGGGAATGGCCAGGACCCAGAGGACACCAGGATCAGCCTTGCAGGGCCCATGAGGCCTCTCGCCATCCCCGAGCCCTCTGCCAGCCTCTACACAGAGATCCAGTATCTAAGCCAGGTACAGACAGAGGGCCGGGAGTGGGAGGGCCTGCGGAGCCACCTTGCCTGCCTCCACTCAGACAATGTGAGGAAGTGGAAGAAGGCCTTTCCTCCGAATCCACTCCCCAAACCCCACACCCCCGCATCCGCCCACCTGCCCCCTCGCAGCTGCGGGCCAAGCCCATTTCACCCGGGAAGCCAGGGCTTTTCACCTCACATTGTCTTTTTTCCGGTCCAGAAAATTCCTGAATAGCTGGTTGGGAGTCCCGGCTGACAAGAGCTGTGGGCTGCCAGGCGGCCACGTCTGCGTCAGAACCCAGCCTGGGGCCTTGAGGGCGACCCCGGGGATAGACGGACTGGGGATATGAGAGGCCATGAGTCAAAGCCTGGGGGTTCCAGGGAGACGTTTTTGGGTCCTGTGCCCCTGCAGAGGGGTGGGTGCAGCAGCTACCTGGGGACCACCTCTCACACCTGTCACCCCTCATTTGGGTTCTGCTCTCCAAACCGCACTGTTGTCTTTACAGACCACAGAGAAAGAGGAAGCCCCTTCCCAGGCCCCGGAGGGGGACGTGGTATCGCCTCCTCTCCACACGTCTGAGGAGGATCTGGGCTTCTCGAAGTTTATCTCAGCGTAAGGCAGGGGGCCCTCCTGGGTGAAGGCCGGCCGTGAAGCAGGGTGGCTGGATCTGCACTGACTCGCGAAAGCTTTCCGCCTCAGCCTCAGAGTCCAGCTGCCCAGACTCCAGGCTCTCCGCACCCTCCCCAGGCGCTCTTCCCGCATGCTCCAGCCAGACCTCCAAGCGTTTGTCAGCCCTGGAGCCCAGACTGGTGGCCTTGCCCTTCCCGCTGGCTACTGGGACATCCCTGATATGTTCCCACCCCTGGCCAGGTCAACCGGCTGAAGACCCTCAGCAGGGCCAGGCAAGGCTCAGAGGATCTGGTCTGAGTTTCTGTCTGCTCCAGGAACTCCCCTGGGCCTCGTGCCCAGCTTCAGGCCCTGCCTTCTTCCCGCTGCAGACCCCACCTTCTCCTCCCTCCCTGGCGTCCTCAGACTCAGTCCCACGGGTTCCCGCATCAGCTGGTGATGAGTGTAAGGCCGGTTGCCTCGCCGGGAGGTCGGACACACCCACCTCTGCACTCAGCACCTGACTCCGCACCGGCACCAGGCTCGGCACTCCGTGCCTGGCTCTGCCGCATGGCTCCCCTGGAAGGCTCAGGCTAACGCAACCCTGGCCGCTCTCGCACCGGAAAACCCGCCCAACAACCCGCCAACCAATAGCAGCCCGCCCCGTCTCAATCCCGCTCCCCTGGACCCAATCAGAGCACCCAGCTGTTGCTCGTTCCTCCTAGCTGTAAAAACCGCCCTGCCCCAGGAAGTCAGCGCGACTTCTCTAACCCCTTTCTCCGGACCGTAGAACCTCACCCGGGAGCTGAATAAATTGGCATTTAATTTTCTTATACTGGCCTCAGTTTCCTCATTTTAAACTCGGCAATAACCCTTACAATGAGGAGGAGCAGGCTAGGGTGAGACTGGGATTTGAGCTTCTCTGTGAACCACCTGCACCCCCAGCCCTTCAGGAAGCTTGTGAAAAACGTGATTCCTGCGCCCCACCAAGACCCGCCAAAACCATCTCTGGGGCTTGGTGCAGGACTCTGAATTCCTAACAGTGCCCAGTGATTGCTGCACTTGAGTTTGAGGGCCAGTGGGCCCAATGAACACTCAGACCCCTCTAGCTTAGAGTCTGCATCTAGGGTGTGATGTCTCCCACCTGCCCCCATAAGATCTGCTCTGTCCACGACACCATGACCCAGCTGGGGACTTCCCTCAGGTCTGCCTAAGTCCAGGCTCAGGTCAGGTCAGGCGCACATTGGAGGGGTAAGCCCAGGACTGGCAGAGAGCGCTCGCCTTTCCATTATCCCTCCCGGGCCATGCCTCCTTGCCTTTGGAAAAATGATAGAAAACCTTGGCTCCTTCCTTGTCTAGAAAGGGTTACTTGCCTATGGGTTCTGGTGGCTAGAAAGAAGAGTAGGCAACAGAGTGCATGTGGGTGTCCAAAACAGAGGGGAGTAGGAACAGGGCAGACACCTGAAGGTGACTCTGAGTCCAGCCAGCCCCCTGGGGAAGGGGCTGGGGTGGGGGTTAAGTAGTACTACTACTATTTTTTTTTTCTTTCTTTCTCTATTTATTTTCTTTCTCTCTTGCTCCTTTTTTTTTTTTTTTTTTTTT